CAGCTCGGACATGAGAATTCCGAGATACCAATTTATCGGACAGGAACTTCATAACACTAACAGCGTCACCTTCGGAAGCTTTGTCCTCAGAAAACAGCTTTCTCAAGTTATGTAGAAAATCGTGTATAGGAGACTTGGCAGCTTGAAATATGAAGCGATAGAGGAGCTTGCGCTGCTTTCAAATTCTGATTATTAAAGTTTAGGAGCTGAAAACGAAGTTACCTGCCAATCACAAGGCAGCATTCCCAGTACTTCTGGCTGTTTTCCCGCGACCTTCTGGATCCATTCCCAGGCTTCCTTGAAGTCCTGCTTTAAGGAAAATAGAAATGAAAACCAGCAGGTGATACCTATCATCTGTTGTACCTGCGAACTGACCGTATTACACAAAAAGCTTGGTTCCGTGCAGGAGCGGATCCTTCTGCCCAAGTCATAAGATGGCTCGATATCTTTTAGCTCTTCCAAAATGTAAGTTGGAGGTTTTCTTCGATTGGTCTGGGTGTTTAAGAGCATGATATTTCCTTTCCATGGTTCCATCACATTCGTGGGCTCGCATTCCAACTCTTTTATCAGAAAAGAGTCTAATATTTCCTCAGCCTTGATATCGTTTAGTACAGCCTCTTTGTCTTCAAGGATATCTGCTGCCGACAAACTGCATCAAGCTCAAAAACATTAGAGTCACGTTAACATTCCATGAAAAACAAACCCCGACTTTGTGCCTTCTGTTATAAGGTACTGCAGAAGATATCTGACTGATGGGAAGTTCTCCCAAACGCTCTTACCAATAGTCGCTGGATTATAAGCAGCGATAACTATAATAACTAGGCAAGACCTCCAGTACAAATCTTTTATCTGTCAAAAGTTTCTCAGGTCTTGCAAAACTCAAAGCAGCAATGCTTACGACAAGTTGCGGCAATGGCTGCCGAGAGACACTTGGTAAGTAAAACGATGAAAGCTTCATAATCGCTGCAGGTAACTACAAACCAAAATTAGGCAGATAAATCACGATAAAAGCTTTGATATTCACCTGCAAGCTATCAGCAAACAGCGTCCCGAAGGCATGCTTATCCGAAGCGGCCGCCCGCCACACCAGCTTCTCAATTATGTGAAGAGCATCTTCTTGCTGCATCGGGAACTGATTCTGTTTGTTCCTAAACTTCATTACAAGTCCCCAAAAACTCGAAAGAGAGAGAATACCGATATTCCCATCAAAATTATTCGCGCAAGTACTTCCTCGGAAGCGTGCATGGAGAATGCAACAAGCTGGAAAGAGTTTAGCTCGACGGTACCACTCGACGATGATAAGTTATATTCCTGGTGGAAGCGTCAAAATTCGAAAAGCCAATGCACTACTGCCTACCTCAACAGGTTCTAAGAACATAAGCTTCTGTACAGCAGTAGTGAAAAACTTGCAATCTCCAGCGCTTAGCTGTGAGCTAAGCACGTCAACACACCACGTTAACGCTTCCTCCTGAGAACACAAAATAGAAAAAGAGCTTTCAAGTAAGAGAGCTCTAGAGCTCTTACTTGAAAGGTCATAATCTTCATGCTGAGATCTTTAAAAAGAGGCAATATCTCCTTGAGAGATTCATCTCTAGATCGTTTTCCAGTCGCAGAAATGGCAACGAGAAATTTTTCATCGGAGGAAAAAGGAGTAGCCGCTTGAATCAGAAAATGGCATGATAGCTCTATCACCTTGTAGCAGCAACCAAGTAGTAGAGAATTAAAACAAAGGTTGATATCGTTTTGATAATATTCTTACCTGCTTGAACCATGACTGCCTGGCTGAATCCTGCTGCTGCAATATAGAATCCCAGGGTTCAAGTAGAGCCCGGCATAAGAGACAAGGGCTAATCTCTTTTAGTTGCTTCAAAACCCTGAAGTTTACACGAAACTGAACATGACGAAAACGTTGATGAAAACGTACCTGGTCACGGCTTCCTGCAGCCGTCCTACATGATCGTCACTTAAAACCAATTCCTGCACAGCAGCACATTATTCGGAAGAGCATATCCTTTCTGATGTATTACCTTGATCACTAACGCCAAAGCTCTCTCCGGAGAAAGCGAATCCGGCAAAGCCTTTAAAACAACTGAAATGCCTTTCATATTATGGGGGCCCGTCGAATTCAGCTCCGCGGTAAGAAATGTCTGAGTATATAAGATTAGCTATCAAACACGCACTAGAAGCGAAGTACCTTTAATGCCAGAGACGAGTATTCTGGTCTTTTCTGAACTATCTGAATGACAAGCTCTGTATAAAACGAGGTCGACGCATTCTTCATCTGGGAACAGTGCCACGGTTAAGTACTTAGGCACCAACAAGTCACTAACCTGAGAAACGCCCTGATTCAATCGTAGAGATAAAATATTTGCAACCGTTTCAAAATCTTTCATTGTTGTGCCATTTGTAAAATGTAGAACACGATCCAGCAGAAGTTTCGCGCGACGAAAATGGAAGGGAGTATTCAACCAGCCCTCCATCATGCTTGATGCAATGACCCGAACTTCTTCGTAGTTTACACCTAGTGTCAACATCCTGTAGAGCAGGACTTAGAGATAAACCTCGAAGGAAAAAAAATGTTGAAAACCTTAGAATACGGGGATTTTCTTTGATCAATGGAACCTTTAAGAGATGATTGAGGGCTTGCATAAACTCAGCCTTAGCCTTCTGACGAATTTCGTCCCCAGGGTATCGGTTTTTAAGGCTACACTGCTACATAAAACAAAAAGCATTCCTAGACATGCTGTAAACTGGAAACCGAAGTACCTGAGCAGTATCGCCCTTGACATCTGATGGATCTTCCGTGCCCACTGTCAGGTCCTAAAAGCAAGAAGCACGTACAAATAAGATGTAAAACCATCGAGCATTACCTCATCAAATGACGTAAGTATGTTAGCGACAAACTCTTTGCAGTGCTCACTGTCCACCCAGTTACGCAAGTTGATCGCATCGTCTAAGTAGGCCTGCACTCAAACCCAAGCACGAGACCTTCTGTGAGACAAACAGCCACAGCGTACCTGCACAAATTCTAAAGGCCATTCGGGCTTTTCATTAAAAGCTCGAAACAAGAGCTTGCAAGAAAAACCAGGTAGAAAGTTTTGTTTCTTTGTAGAAGCCTCAGATGGACTTGAATCAAGGAAGGAAAGCAAAGCCTGGAAAATCCTTGAAAGTGAAAAACAGTCATATCCTTGAGGACGAACCTTGTATGTTCTTGGAAGACAGAAAGCGTTTGGCAGCTTTTTGGAAATGTAAAAGCAAGTAAGGTACTGATATCTCGGAGGCGAGGATGGAAATCTGCTGATTTCATCAAGCACAGACTCCAGAATCTCGTCTAGCCGCTGCCAATTTTCCTGTGTCCACGCGCTCCAAATCGAATGTAGAATATCCAAATCTAAATGAGAGCGTCAAAGTGAGATGAGGAATCAAGCAAAGACAAAAAAGCACACCTTCGTCAATTCCCAAATCAGCTGCTGGCTCCAGATGCTGCTTGAAAATCTCGCGATGCAAAGCATCCTCCTGGCCACTGCCAGCAATCCACTCCTGCCCCTCTTCTTCCGAAAATGGCGCATTGAGATCGAATCCTCGCGGAGTCGCATTCAAGTCGAGCGCCTGGGCTTGATCTTCCCTGGCTTTCGGCTTGCCGCGACCGTCCTCGTCGTCGTCGGGAGGATGCTGCCTCTGCAAGAACACAAGACGCTTCATCTCTCTGGGAATCGAGAAAGAACGTTACCTTCATCGTCTAGAACCCTAGAAAATGATAAACCCTAGAAATTTCCCGCCTGACGAAACGATCTAATAGCGATCACAGTGCTCTTTCCACCAGCTACATTGTATAGGCCCCAATCACACAAGATGAGAATGTATAGCAACAATATTTCCAAAAAATATCAAGAAAATGACCGTACGGAAGGTTTGGGCCGAATGACCGTTTGTGGTCCTGCTAATCTGGGCCCTCCGTATATCCCATGTCTCACACTCACACTCAAGTAGAGCTAGGCTTGGTTAGTTTCTTTCTTGTTTTCACGCCTGGGGCGGCGGCGGCCGGGCGGCGGTGGCGGCAGCGCGTGTGGCCATCGGCAAGCAGCTGGATCGATCGCGGCGGCCTTGTAGCTCGATCGTCTCGGCAAATCGATCGATGCAGTGATGTGTCGTGTCCAGGTCGTGTATTATCTCAGCCATGGGGGACGGATGGAGCAGCCGCATCTCATCGAGGTGGAGCAAGAGGGAAATCGTCTCTACCTGAGCGGTATTTTCAATGGGATCGATCGTCGATATCTTGGACTTGCTGAGATAATTTCGTGTTGCAGAGGTGAAGAAGCGATTGACGGTGCTGCGAGGGAAAGGCATGCCGGATGCCTTCTCCTGGGCCTACAAAAGGTTCGCTGTGTTCTTTCTTCTCCCCTTTTTATGTGGTTCCTCGCGTGATTTTCTCTTGCCAGGAGCTACAAGAACGATTTCATCTGGAACGACGTGACAGAGAATGACCTGATCTTACCGCTTCGCGACAATGAGTATATCATCAAAGGATCGGAGAATGTGTATGGAAGACAAGGTCAGTTTGGTTCTTTGGATGATCTTTCATTCGTTTCGTCCTTCCAGAGAGTCGTAGCGATCGGGGAAGAGTTCCAAGCATCCAGGAGGAACACAAGGATTTCGAGAGTCCAATGTCTTATCATCACCACACTCCCATGCGAGCAAGCGAAGGCTATGACAAGCGGAGCTCATTGTCTTCTTCTTCCGTCGCTGGCAGCAGATCGCCCAGGAACAGGAACAAAGCTTTCAACTGCGAAGGCGCTCTCAGAGTGAACAGGCAGCTCATGGAGACGCTCACGCAGGCAAAGACCGAATCCATGGACGAAGTCTTCTACGATAACCCACACTCGGATGGATCAAGCAACGGCAACACTTTCACTGACGTCAAAGTGTACAAGACTCCGGCATCTCCTGTGACTGCGGACCACGGCAAGGATGCAGCAACGCAGACGGAGGAGCATTCTGGTAAAAATACTCACGAGTTCCAGTTTCACCGAGATGTTCAGCACGATCAGGAGAGAAGCTGTCAACGTGATCAGGAAACTCAAAGCTCCAGGAAGAAGTCTGAGAGAGCTGGTTTGGTTTCTACCGTAAGGAAGCAACTGGAGGAGAGTAGCCGGAAGCAAACAAGCACTGCGGTTCTTCGGCAGCTGCTCTCCTGTGGTGGGATCGATACGAACACTTGTTCCTCCATGCAGTACAACAGGTTGCACTATCCACCGCAAGCATGGGCTTGGAGCAAGTCCAAAGCAGATACCAGGTCCGAAGCGGAGAGTGCTTCCAAGATTCCACACGATGTTCTTCCTTCTTGGGAGTCTCCTAGGATGCCAGCTCGTTTGGTCAGCTCGAGTCAGGATCCTGAATCTATTCCAGAAGTTGTGAAGGAAACGACGAACTCCCCGGCTGCAAGCCATGCGGAGCGACGATCCTTGGTAGACAAGGCATCTCGCGAGGAGGCAAGAAAGTTACAGAACAGTATGCTTATTGCAACTAAGGAAGCTCGGAAGGTCGAAGACAACAGCCCCCGTCTATCGCCTGCGATAAAACGTGTTAATGTGGAACTTCCAACGCTAAAGGTGCAGTTCAGCCCCCCGAAAAAGGAAATGAAGTGCAAGGAAGACAGGTAGGACTCCGTTAGTTCGCAAAGTTTCAAACTCCTCTAGCTTTTTCGTTGCAGGCCTCTAACACCAGGACGAAGCCGACTCGATTGGGAAAAGACCCTCCAAGAGGCTGTCAATGCAAGTTCTCCTCCCGTGGATTTCAGATTGTTGCTGCAAGAATGCCCGTAAGTTTCTGCCCGGAGCCGCTTACACTTACTCGGAAGTCTTCTTGTTCTAGGCAATGTGGTCGAACTTTCAAGCCAGATTCTCTGAAGGTTCACTTGCGAGGATGTCATGGCCAGAAAACTGGGAAGATAACAAGCGTGGCAAGGCGTCTTGAATAGGTACTATTTGTTGTTTTATGATCCCATAGCCTTTCTATGTTCTTTTCTGCATGTAAAGAAACTTTTCCTTGTCCTTTTTTTCCTGAGTTTGATTAGACAGGCATTTCGTTTTGTTTCCCTGCGTGTAACGTGTGTGTCTCTGCATGCCTCTGGCTGCTACTGCTGTTACTAAACTGCGGGCTTCCTGTACAAGATTTTGGAAAGCAACGGATTGTATCTGAGAATCATTAACTGGTGTGTGAAGTCCAAGGCAGGACAGACACCAGCTGTTCTTCTCGGAAGTCGTTTGCTGCCGCATTCTTCGTCCTTGTTTTTTGTTGAGGTTGGCTTCTTGGCGTGTCCGGTCCTGAATTGTTAATGTGTCCATTATGTAAAGTTCTGCCTGGGTGGTGCTGCTCCGCAGCCGTGGGCGTAAACATCGACGCTGTCATCTGTGGATGGTCTGTGATTAAACAACGTGAATCGCTTCGCTTTAGTTGCTTACTCTTCTATTTGATGCATTCTTTAGCTGGAAGTTTGTGAAAGCAACGCCTGAGCTTTTGCAGAGCTGGCCGACCTTATCAACAGCACTGCAATATCCTACACTAGTTTCCACAATCAAGTCGCTAAAAACTCAACGTTGTCTCTGTCGATCACTTCAGCTTTCCTTTTGGTTGTAACTTCTTCTCGTCACGTTTTTGTATGTACTTGTTTGGAGCATCCTGTCTCTTTGTAAAGATGTCTGTCTTGAGTCACAGTTGTTTCATCGTCAGGTGTCACAGTCGGGGATTCAAGAGAAGATTGTTTTTTCTTGGATTTTGCAGGGAGGCTGGCTACGGAGATGAACCATCGAAAGCGCAGTTAAGCATAAAAAGTTTTCTGGTCGCTGACTCACTGCTTACTTATTACTGTGCTTGCAGAAGCAGACCGTTTAAATAAAATCCATGATTTTGGAGTGCGCGGGTCTTCCGCCTCATCCTCGAAGGGGCAAAGAGCATTGCAGTACGAGTATAAAATCTTGTGAAGGTACCTGGGCTATCTATGGCGTTCCAACGTCTCTTTCTTCCAGCAACAACTCTAGTACTGATTGTGAGCTCTTTTCATGCTCAGCCGGTCGATGACGATAAGTGCTGTGTGGACTCGGCCGCAGTTTATCAACCTCCAAAAGGATGTCCCCATCCGCATCCTGCATCAATGTCGCCTCCGCCCGCTGGAAGCTCGGAGTCCTCGGTGGTTTTCCAGAGTTTTCACAAATCCACAAACAGCACGAGAGCCGGGATCTTTAGTACGGGAACGCCACCACCAGCTCCGGAACCAACTCGTCCACCGCCGCCACGTTGCGAACCAAGCCCGCAGTCGGCGACGCTGTTATGCTGCTGCGCCAACATAGAGTACGTGGCTACTGAGTTCTATACTCAGGCGTCCATGGGGAGGACTATGGACTACTTGGACTCTAGCCTCGCTGGGAACTGTACCGATCCTCCGCGAGGTGGCGAGAAGGCGTACCTCTCTCCCAGCGCCGAGGATATGATGCGGCAGATCGCTTACCAGAGCCTGGATCACTTGAAGTAAGCTAGCTGCAAAGCTCTCCTTCTCATTGTCTTCCTTTCCAGGGCGATCCAGTTATCTCTTGGAAGTAACAAGTCTTGCAACCGGCCGGGGATCGACGTGAGCTGCTCCAGGTTTAGCAGGATTGTCAACGATGCTATGGGACACACACTGTGGCCGGATTTCGACTGGTACAAGAACGACTACACCACACTCTTGGGAGCTTACTGGTTCTCTGGCCTCCTCACCAAGTGCTACACTGGTATCCTTGACAGATGCGAAGGCCCAGCCACCAACAGAGTAAGCTCTTTCTTTTTACTTCTACCCAGGAGAGAGTTGGAAGAGCCAGAAGAGAGCTCGCTAACTCACAGAATCCTTGTCTTTGCAGCTCTGTGGATCCCTCGCCGCTGCCAAAGCCCGGCAGGAGATGGTGATCAGGACGGTGCTTTACCAGAACTTCCAGCACAACGTCTATCCATACAAGATCTCGGTGGCGGAGTTTACGAACAGGCTCTCGCGGTACAAGGACAAGCTCGCTGGGAGCAACGGGACTGCGGACGAGGGGCTGTGGGTTCCAAGCTGCCTGGGAACTGGCGGCTCTAACAGCAATATGTTCTCGGCGGATTCGTACGGACTCCCCTTTAGCTACAACGTGACCGACGGCTGCGATGTTGTCAAAGCGGTCCTCGGCCCAATGGCGTACAATTACAAGTGAATTGTACAGAATAAAACCAATACATTAAAGTTTTCGAGGATTTAGGGTTTAGTGGAAACTTAGGGTTGTAGTGGAGGGGATGAGGGACGCCGATGGCGCCGAGAGGGCGCTTCTCGCTTTCCTGGAGTCGAATGCCGAGATTTCCAATTCCGAGGCGTTTGCGCGGGATCTAGGCGTGGATCACGAGCTGCTGGCGGGGACGATCAAGAGTTTGCACGGATTTGGCTTCATTGAGGCCAAGGTGAGGTCGATTTCGCGAGGATTGTGGTCGGCAACGCCCGCATTGTGTAGGATGTGAGACGGGAGTCGTGGGAGTTGACGGAGGAGGGGCTGGTGTACAGCCGGAATGGCTCCCCCGAGGTACAAGTGTTTGACGCGGTTCCGGCTGGAGGGATTTCGCGAGAAGATTTGCAGGTTTGTGTCACGCTATTGTGATTTCTTTGATATCTTCTATCTTCTTCTATTTGTAGAGAAAGCTGGATGACAGTGTGTTTTCCATTGGTTTCCGCAAAGCAATGAGTAACAAGTGGCTGGAGACCAAGCCATTGGTTTCTCGTAAGGTAAGACTATAGAAGTTTTGTTGTGTTATTCTAACTTCCGTTTCTTTCTTCACAAGGTTTTGAAGGTTGAGGATGTTGTGAAACAACAGCTACTAGACGTTAAGGATGGCAAGGTGAAGAAATTTATATTGTCGCGAGTCTAAGTTTCATATTTGTCTGCTTTTTTCCAGAACTTATCAGCGGCTGACATTGATGCTTTGAAAAAACGGAAGCTTATAGTTCCTAAGTATATATTCTTTTTTCGGGGATCAAGAGTTTCGTTTTTGATAAACGTTCTTACAGGGTATGGAAGGCGTATTCCATAACAAAGGGAGCGAATTACGCTCCAACGAGAACGAAAGCGGCAACTGAGGTTACTCGTGAGATGCTACTAAAGTAAATCTAAGAGTGTTACTTCGGAAATTGATACAATCTTGTTTTTCCAGGGAAACCTGGTCAGAGGTTGCATTCAAACCGTACAATTTCCAAGCTCTTGGACAACCAACGGAAGGTGGTCATTTACATCCATTGCTGAAGGTAGCAGGAGTTTGTCATTTTCTTCTCCATTGTTAACAGTCTCCTTCAGGTGCGAACAAAGTTCAGGCAGATTTTCTTGGAGATGGGGTGGGTTTCGTGACTTCCTTATCTATATAAAACTGCAATCATGCTGGTTACAGGTTTGAGGAGATGCCTACGAACAATTTTGTTGAAAGCAGGTACTTGTCTTGACAACAATTGCGTCGAGTTTAAGCATTTGTCTTTACGATAGCTTCTGGAATTTCGATGCCTTGTTCCAGCCGCAGCAGCATCCTGCCCGGGACTCACACGACACATTCTTCTTAAAAAGTAAGTGTGTTCGTGATATGTTTATCATTTTATGGTCATGTAGGTCCTTGTAAAACGCAGACATTCCCGGAAGACTACCTGGAGCGTGTGAAGACAATCCATGAACAAGGTGGCTTTGGTTCCATTGGGTATGATTTATCTATCGTCTTCTTCTTGCACTCAAAACTTTGTACCTGGAGCAGATACATGTACGATTGGAAAAGGGAGGAGGCCGAGAAGAATGTTTTACGTACACATACGACTGCTGTTTCTTCTCGTATGCTGTACAAATTGGCCCAGGTACGGGGGTCTTGAAGGCATCAACTAGCTGGCCAACTGACCTTTTGTTTGGTTTCCCAATAGGATGGATTTGTTCCCAAGCGTTATTTCTCCATTGATCGTGTCTTTCGCAACGAAGCAGTAGACAGAACGCATCTGGCAGAGTTCCATCAAATTGAGGGTGAGTTTAAGGCGGTCTCTTTTCTCTTGTGTCACCAAAATGACCGTAATATTTCCAGGCTTGATTTGTGACAAGGGCCTAACACTCGGAGATCTCATTGGGGTTCTTAATGACTTTTTCTCTCGGTTAGGTGAGCCACACTTTCTACCACCCAGCGACTCTTTTCTTCTTCGACTTAAAACGCATTGACAGGGATGAAGAAGCTGAGATTCAAGCCGGCGTACAACCCGTATACCGAACCGAGCATGGAGATTTTCAGGCAAGTATATCCTCTCTACGGATCGTCCGCGCTGCTGACACTTATTTTGTGCTGCAACAGCTATCACGAGCAGCTGAATAAGTGGGTGGAAGTCGGAAACTCGGGCATGTTTAGACCCGAGATGCTCCTTCCAATGGGACTTCCAGATGACGTCTCTGTGATTGCATGGGGGCTATCTCTAGAAAGGTATTTCTTGGTTTTCGCGTTTCTTGTTTGTTCATGATGTTCGCTTCGCTTTCTAGGCCCACGATGATTTTATATGGCATCGACAACATAAGAGATCTCTTTGGACACAAGGTGAGCTGTGACGAAAGAGAGTAGACACATGTGTTGACCTGTGTTTGCTGCGCAGGTCGACCTCAAGCTAATCAAGTCAAACCCGATTTGTCGGCTCGGCATGTAGCCGATAGAAACCGCAGCATACCCAAAAAAGAATCCGCGGCTTACTTTTTTAAAAGCTCGAGCTCTCTCATTCTCTCTCTCCCGTGACAAATTGACAATGTCACGATCCCAACCAAAAATTTTTAGATCCGTCGGTCTGCCGTTTTTCTCTATTGATATTCCCAACGTACAGAAACAAAATATATATAATCAAGCAGAAGAAAGATGGGAGAAAAAAATAAAAATAGATACAAACAAAATTTTGCGGATTCTACCTATTTATTAACGGCCTCTCTTGGTTTGAGGAAAGAAAGAAAGTAAAAAAGAAAGCGCTCTATTCACAAGCACAAGAGGGAGGAGCATGAAGATCAGAGAAGACCTCGGCGGAAGGATCTGGCGGTGGCGTTGTAAGTGCGTACCATGAGCCCGACTCCCAGCCCGACGCCCAAGCACATCCCCAGCCCGATGCCAACTCCAACCCGGACGCCCGCGTTAAACCACGAGACGTCTCCATTCTCCTCGTAGTCGCTCTCGTACAGCTTGCGAAACTCTTCGTCGTCATCGTCGTCGCGATCCACGCCGTCGTCGCCGTCTCTGCTTTTGACGGCTGATACGGATACTTCGGCAGCCTCTGGGAAGTTCTCGCCCTGCAGCGACAAAGAAATTTATAAGATTTTAGAGAGCGAGTGCGAGAGATATTGTTAGTCAAAGCCATCAAATCAATCGTGGGATCAGCGCGGGTCCATGGGAAGAGAGAATCTCCGGGCCTAAACAAAAACACGGGAAAACGAAACTGGTGGCCAGACAGCGGCAGGCAATCATGGACAGACTGTCGCAAGAAAACACTCGGAGAAACTGATGAATGCTGCTGGCTGGGAGATAATAACTGAGAGAGGGAGAGAAGCAGCAGCAATAGGAATAAAAGAAAAAGAGCTGGAGAAAGAGAGAGCAAAAACAATGCCTATAAAACTCTAAACAATCGCAGCCACCATCTCCACCCAGGAATCAAATCCTAGAAACCAGTGCAAACCAACAAAACGAGAGGGGCCGGAAGGAAGGCAAGAAACCAAAAGCCTAAGAGAACCTACCAGTTGTTGCTGCTGTTGATCGGTCACGAAACACTCCCTCGGCACTCCACCACCACCACCGCCACCGCTGCCAAAGCACCTGTTCTTGGGCGTCGGGGTGGCGGCGCCACAGCACTCCTCGTCCTCCGGGATGACATCTAGCACCGTGCACCTGAGCCGGCTTCTCCTCGCATTAAGCTGGACAGTCTGGGTTAGAATCACCGGAGACCCGATATACCTCCCCACCACGCAAACTTCCATCAAAGTCGTCAAGCTCGAGCTGGAACTGGAAGAAGAAGAGGGCGATGGCGATGGCGGTGGTGGTGGCGATCGTAAGTGGTGCTGCTGGACGCGAACAAACGAGCACTTTGAGCTACCGGCCTCGCAGCTACACTCCATCCGCCACCCGAGCTTTCTAATCCCCGGCATACCTCCCTCACAGAAGCTGGAGCTATCGTGGCTGCTGATCACCGATTGCTTGAGGCAGCCCGACACCAGGAAGTCGTGGCGATGGTAGATCTCGAAAGCCAGCGATCCAGACGTCCGAAGGTTGTCCGTGCTCACGAACGTCACCTCCTCGGACTCTAAGTCCAGGCGGTCCCGTCGGAGGGCGATGCATGCCTCCTCGGACGGCGCGACGCGGCCTCCATTCACCTCCAGCGCGATGTCGATGCCGCGCGGCGGGAACCAGATCGTGAGGAGCTCCGGCGCCTCCTCCACGGCGCAGAACGCGACGCGGGCGTAGAGCACGCGCACATCGAACCACGAAGAGCACACCGAGAATCGCCCACCATTGCCACTGCCACTGCCGCCGCCGCCGCGGCCACCGCCGCTCCTCGATCGGCCATGCAACAATGTAGTTTGATTCCTCTGCTGCTGGGCACGATTCCGCCTCAGATCCTGCTGGCCCATGGCCGATCGCTCGAAATTCCGAGCAAGATTCTCGAGATTTCGAGGAAGATCTGGCCGATGCCCCTGGCCGCCGCTCGATTTCGAGCGAGGCTCTTCCGATGCCGCTGTCGCCGCTCGAAATTTCGAGCGAGGCTCTTCCGCTGCCGCTGTCGCCGCTCGAAATTTCGAGCAAGATCTCCGGGACAACCGACCTGGCGGTAGATGAAAATCCTTCCCCCTCTCCTTCCTGGATCAGCTCAGCTGAGGATACTCCTCCAAATCCCAGCGCTCATGACCGATGAATCGCACCGCCTCGATGAGCAGCGGCAGCGGCCTTGGGGCGCGTTTGGGGGCTTTCGCTCCCCGAAGCATCCGCTCGCGATGACACATGAAAGAAACGAAAGATCTCTCCACCAGAAATCCAAGCAAAGATCATGCGCTCGCTGCCCCAAGCTAGCTCCCTAGAACGATCATCTCGCCAGAAATGCGCGAATCGAAGAACCCTAAAAACTGGCATGGGGTTTAGCTAAAGACAAAGGTTTATTAACGGGGTTTAACGATGCCGCCAAACGCGTGGCAGCATGCACAGGTATGCCGCCAAATCTAGCGGAGCGCTCACGCGCTGAATCTGGCGGTAGCCCTAGTCCCGACTCCACGTGCTCACTGACGGCGGCGTACACCGTTCGCTCACGGCTGTCGACGCGGCGGAATATTCCGCCCCCGCTATTTTAAAGAGCCTAAAGAGGCTGCCTTGTCTCACAGTTTTCGGTAGCTCGAGAGATCTTTTTTCTTCCCCAATCTCCAGCTAGCCATGGCGGCGGCAATCGTAGCTAAGAGATCGATCACCTCATCATCGCAAGGAAGATCGATGTAAGTTTTGGCTTTTTCTTCGATGTTTTTGCCTCATTTCTTTCGATTTTTTAGAATGTTCTTGACGAGATCAATCGGGACGGCGGCGGCGGAGACGAGCAAGGAGCCCTCGATCAAATCGTGGTGGGTTCCCGATCCAGCGACCGGATTCTACGCCCCCAGTGGGAAATCGAGCGCCCAACAGGCCGATCACGCCAAGCTCCGCGAGGAGCGATGCGAGCACTCGCAAATGCCGGCGGTCTCTTCCGGATGCTGGTGGCACTCTCTGGAAGAAATCCCCGATCGATCTTCCACTCCCGCATAGTAAAAATAGAGTCACTATTAAGTGATTGTAACGGAGTTCCAAAACAATTTTTGTCTGTAACTTTTTTCTCTTAAAAAAAAAAAATCCCACACTTGAATCTTATAAGATTCCCATAGATGCGATGATAGTCTTCTTTTGTGCTTGGAACATTTGCCTCTAAAGGGCACTGCTGATTTGAAAATAATTGAGCCAAGGTACCAGATTCCATGGTTGGAAAGTCGCAAAAAATCAAAGACAGATGTCATCGCAAAAATTCAAAGACAATCTCATCACAATTCCACACTTCCCTCCAATTTGGAGAGAATTTGCAACCCCATGATCTGTCCCTCCACAGGAATTTCAATGTCCCTAAACTCCACCGGACTCTTCCCAATGTCTACAACCCTGATCAATCCCCCTACCGATCCACAGATCTTCCCATGCGCCGCCACCACATTCCTCAAGTTCTTGAGCCTCTTGTCCTCGAGCACGCAAACCCAGCTCTCCGTACCGCCGTCGTACGCCTTGATCCGCCCGGCGGTATCATCCATGACGAACAGCTTACCGCCGGAGGTGACGCCGGGCCCGTTCCATCCGCGCGTCAGTCCGCTCGGCATGGGCTCCCACGTCTCGCTCCCCGGATTAAGCACCAGCCCGCTGCGCGCGCTGACCATATAGAGCTTACCGTCAAACTCCACCGCCGGCGTCGCCTCGCGGCTGAGCTTGGAAGACTCGAGCGGCTGTACCGCGCGCCACCCCGCGACGGCGCCGCCGTTGGTGTCCCACATCTCCGCCTGCCGCGCGGTACGCAGGTCCCACTCGTTGCCGCAGCCGCTGGCGACGAGCAGCTGGCCGCCGGCGGTTGTGCCGCAGCTGCACCAGCGGCGCGGGACGGTGTACCGTGGGCCCCGGCTCCAGCTGGCGGTGCGCACGTGGAAGACGAGCGGGCTGTCCAGCGCAGGCTCCACCGGCGGCATACCGCCAGGTGGTGCCCGCGGTACACTGGCGGTGGCGGCGCTTGATGATGGTGCTGCCTGGGTGTCGGCGCCGGCGGTACGTGTCCCAGCGACAACGATGAGTTTGTCGCTAGTGCTCGCGCATTGGATGGAGGAGAGCGAATAAGGGCCCGGCAAGAATCCACGGCGCGAGAGCTCAAATCTCACGTCGTGTGGCATGGGAGGGAGGCGATGCCATTTGGCCGCCAAAGGATCGAAAGCGTACCACTGGAAGGCGGCGGCGCCTCCGGTGCTGTTCTTGGTGTTCTTGGACGCGATGAGAACGTAGAGCCAGTTAAATCCGCCCGGCAGCCCCAGCTTCGCGCGAGCGGGGAAGAAGAAAGGGCAATCGTACAGGAGGCGCTGCCAGGACCTTGCCACTCCCCACAGCCCGGAGATTCGATCGACCCGAGCCAGGCACAGCAGCGCTAGATCATCCGGGAGGCCTGGAAGCAGGGGATCCAGAATTGATGACGATCCTTGACGATCTGGCCGAGGGCGCTTGCTTGGCGGACACTCCTTGCCGTCCTCTACCGGGATCATGATCCAACTTGATACTCCACTGATAGGAAGGATCCTTCCCTCCAAACTCCACCACGCTAGAAGGAGAAATCTAAACACTCCATCGCGGCCATGAGCCAGGAATTTTAGGATCACAGCCAAGACATGATGCACCAAACTCGCTCGCTCGCGCGATTTCTAGCGCTCTCCAGGCATGGGCCGTGATTGATAGCTGCCTCTTTCCTCCTTTTCGAGAATTAACACACCAGAGGCCCCAGTGGCCAGCATTTAAACGAAAAAGCTGCAAAGCTACTGGAGAGCGAGCTTCCACCCTCAAAAGAGCGTCTTTGTCCTCACCCGCGACACTATACACGCTAACGCACAGACCTTGTTTAATCGCAAGATGTGCTGGGTTTGCTGGGAAAAAGTAGAGCATTTGTCGTCGTGTATATGCTAGAGATCCCTTCATGCAGGGCGATGAATTTGGTTGGAGTGGTCCTCACTCTCTTCATCCAAAAGCCATGAGAGCTACGTGGGCGAGATTTGATCCTGTGCATACTTTTCTTTTTGGCAATGTCCATCCAATTCAATGCCCCAAAAAGTTGAACCCTAATTTTCTTAAAGAAGTTGGTCTTTAAATGTGGAAAGCTATATATACGTATGAAAGACTTATTTTTGATATTATATTTCTATTTTTCACTGGTAATGGACTCGCTAAAGTTGTTGTCCTCCCCGAAAATCTTTTGGCACAAGAGCGTGGTGAAGAAACAAGATCGGGAAATAGCACTAGGGCAAAAGGGATGTGTAATTTGGCTCACAGGTCTCAGTGGCTCAGGTAAAATCAAAGTTCTATTGGTTTTTCTGTTTTTTCTTTTTTATGATTGCTTGAAATCTTTTTCTCAGGAAAGAGTACTTTGGCTTGCAAGCTTGATCAGGCACTGTTGAGCCGGAACAAGCTCAGCTATGTCCTCGATGGTGATAATCTTCGCCATGGGCTCAACAAAAACTTGGATTTTAGCGTTAAAGATCGTGCTGAAAACATTAGACGTGTTGGTGAGACTTATAATTCTCTGATCTTGATCTTGTTCCTCTTAGTTTTTAAGTTCTTTAGTTCTAAATTGTGTTTTTATCTTATGTGGATAATAATCCCTTTAATTTAAATTTTTTTCTAGGTGAAGTGGCCAAGCTATTTGCGGATGCGGGGCTAATATGCATTACGAGCTTCATTTCACCGTATAGAAACGACAGAAATTTGTGTCGCAAACTACTTCCTCCTGGAGATTTCATTGAGGTATACAGTTTTGTTCTACAAACTATTTCCTAAAGTAGGTTCTTCATTCGAGGAGGTTTACCTCAAAGTTCCATTGAGCATTTGCGAAAAAAGAGATCCCAAGGGACTTTACAAGCTTGCTCGTGCCGGGAAAATCAAAGGTTAGTTTTCTTTTACTTTAAGATTGCTGGCATCACAGTTGGATTCATAGGTTTTACCGGTATAGATGATCCATATGAGGAGCCTTATGACTGCGAGGTAGATTAACTCTCGAGGTTTTTACCAGCGTTTTTAATGTTATATCTTTGCCTAGATTACAATGGGAGTAGAGAATGGCACTCCAGAGGAAATGGCCACCACAGTGATTACGTTCCTTGACGGAAGAGGTTATTTGGCACCTCCAATTACAATGTAAATAAACTTGGAGTTCCAGTTCCCTCATTTTAGGGTTTTAGCAGTTACAAGGGAATTGCTTGCCTGGATTTGGACTTGGTGGTCACACTAGGAACATCAATTCATTCAGCATCATAAGTAAATGGAGCCATCACCCATTAGGGACAACACAAGAGGAGAAACCTTTACCATGCTATGGAGTGACTGGTCCTTTTGCCAGGTAGAAATACATCCCTTGCCCAAGATTCCAAAAGGTCACTAAATAACATAAAGCATGTGACTCATCATATGCATTTTTAACAAAAGGTAAAACATCATTTCCCCAGTTGTGAAGCATTAGTTCAGCCCTCATGTAGCTGAGTTCACCCATGTTCAAACATGAGAGAATTTTGCCCACCTAGATCTGAACTCAACAATTACAGCACAACAAAGGATGTGTGCTTGGGAGGGGGTGTGAACACCCCTACTGCCCCAAAACACACACAAAAGTGAGAGGTTAGCTCAAGCTATAGCATACCACACATGTTGGTCATCTAAGTCTCTTGGTTCTACTAAAGCATTGGTCAAGACTTAGCACAAGCATATTTGTTGCACCACAACAATGAGTGTGCAATCCTCTACCAAAGGTACACACCACCACATCAAGAGGATTAATTGCCAGCCAACCCACCACAACTATATGCAAAGATCTCAAACTCAGGTTTGACCAAGTCTCTTGGCTTTCACCAGAATCCATCCTAATCTGCATTGTGGTGGCGAGCAGGATCTATCCCAATATGCATTGTGGTGGTGAGCAAGGAGTATGATTTTGTGGGTAGCAGAGCACCCCCTCCTAAGCACACACCCTTTATTGTGTTGTAATTGTTGAGTCTAGATCCAAATGGGCAATTCCCTCATGCTTGAATGTGGGTGAGCTTTGAAACAAACAAAAGAGTGAACCTTAAGCCAACCTCCCAACCCTTAAAACATTATAGCATTAAATCCCACATGCCATAGAATATTTTTGTGGTTTATGTCATTCTTCCCTCCCTCATGACCCAGCCATGGACGGCAGCCTCAAGAAACTAATTGAGCCTCATATGAAGGGAGTTCAAGGCAATACTGCCATGGAGAAAAGATGTGCAAACGACAATACTAACGTTGCGACAAACGGCCATAAAAGAAAGAAAGCAATATGGCTTTCTTGCATGACAATATGGTCATGGAAACAAGAGAATGAGAATAGAATAAACAACTCAAATTATATAGCAATACAGTTATAAAACTTAATTCTTTCCTTCTCAAAAATGTCATCTAAGTCATAACCAAAAGTCAAAAACACTCTCTTCATGTCATCCTCAATTTCCTATGTAACTTTGTCCATGGAATAACCATTCGACTAAATTAAGAACTCTTTAGTTGGCTTCCGGCATGTTTTCACCAATCTTTAAGCAAGAATATTGGCTGGACCAACCTTCTTAGCATCAATCTCTGGGACATGGATAATGGACTGATTCACAACATTGCCAAAGTGCAAACACACTTTAAATTTGCTCACATAGAACATTGGATGAATTTTCAAACTAGCTAGCAATTCCAAAGTGTATGCAAGATCCCCCATGCACTATAAAATTATCCAAGGTCCATAATACTATAGAAACAACTTAGCACTACCATCTCCTTTCAAAGACTATTGTGCATTTGACAACTTAAGAAAAACCTTGTCACCAACTTTGTACTTTTGATGACAACGATGGTTATCAACAAATCTTTTGTCTTGATCTTGATCTTGCCTCATGTTCAACTTTGCCAACTCAAGTTTGTTTTATATATCCTCTAGGAAATCATAACCATGAGGTACCGGCCAAAGCCAAACTCAAACTCACAGAAGACCTAGACTTATAGCCATATATTGCCATAAATGAAGACATGTTAATACCCAATTGATGAGTGTTATTGTCAGCAAACTAAAGCAAAAGTAAGTATTTCTCCCATACTCCCTGTTTAGTCAAGTTTCCCATAAAAGACCTCAATATATCTTCCAACAGCTAATTCATACGCTCTGATTGCCCATCTGATTGTGGATGCTCACCACTACTCATGCTCAGCTTAGTCTTTAGCTTCTCAAATACCATTTGCAAAAACTTGGATATGAACTTGGGATCTCTATCACTCACAATATCACCTAGAAAACCATAGAAACTGAATAACTAGTTTACAAACAATTGAGCAATTTCAAAAGCTTTAATAGTCATCTTCATTGGGAAGAAGTGAGCCATCTTCATTAAACGATCCATAATAAACATCATTTTGTCAAAAAGTCTTGGGCAAACCAATGATAAAGTCTATCAAAATGTTATCCCACTTATTCTCAGGTACACATAAAGGATGATAGAGGTTAATGAGCTTCTGATGATCAACTTTGACTACTTGGTAAATTAAACAACCATGTATGTACTTCTCAATATTTGATTTAATCCCAGGCCAAAAAAAATGCCTCTTCATCAACATATACATTCTCAATACCCCTAGATGCCTAAGACTTGGCACATCATAATACTCAACCAAAATTTATTTGATGAGTTTGTTAGTATGAGGAGCCACCACATATCCCTTCTTCACTAGGATTCCATCTCATATCTCGAATAACACAAACTTGTCACCCTTCAAATCTGTAGAGGCGCCGCTCAATAAAACCTTTGTATGAATATCAGTGATAAAGGAGTCGGCAAACTTCTTAAGTTCATCCAAGAAATTGCTGAATAGCTTCATGAATGAGATAAGATTTACCATCCTAGATAATGCATCTACCACTTTATTGTCACCTCCGTGCTTGTACTGGATCTTAATAGACATTTCCTACAGAAACTCTTACCAATGAATAAGGTGGCCTTGAAAATCTTTTTGTTAACTGAATACTAGAGAGACTAATGATCTAAATCCACATGGAAGTCCGATCCATATAAATAATATTGCCATTCCTTCATAGCAGTGATCACAACATACAACTCCTTATCTTGAGTAGGCCAATTCCATTGTGTAGCATTAAATTTATGGCTCATGTATGCAAGAGGATGCCTAACTTGAAGTAATATGGCTCCAATAGCAACATCACTCGCATCTGTTTTGACCACAAAAGGCTTCTTAGGATAAAAAATCTTTAATACAACATTGTTTCAAACATTAAAATGCCACTTCACACTTCTCATTCTAACCATGAATAATAGTATGTTTCGATATGTTGTAGAGAAGATTGGTCAAGGGGGCTATTATCTTTAAAAAGTCCTTCATAAATCATCGAAAAACTCCAGCCATACCAAAGAAACTACATAGATTATGCACTATTGAAAGTATAAGCCAATCAATTACGACCTGAATCTTTGCGGGATTAACTCTCACTCCATGTACTAAAATCAAATGCTTAAAATATCCAATCTCCTCCAAGAAAAACTCGCACTTTAATAATTTTGAGTAAAGCTTGTTTTCCCTTAAAAGTTGCAAAACACTTCACACATGCATCTTATATTCCTCCACTAAAAAGTTGAATACTAGGATATCATCAAAATAATTAGTTGCACACTTTCCCAAATAAGGTTGTAGAACTTAATTCATCAATCTCTGAAAAGTTGCAAGAGCATTTGTCAAACCAAACAGCATCACCCAAAACTTGTAGTAATCCGTCCTTGTCCGAAATGTAGTTTTCGGAACATCCTTTAGCTTGACACAAATTTAATGATACTCTTGCCTCAAATCAATCTTCAAAAAATATTGAGCATCACAAAGACTATCAAGCAAATCATTGATATAAGGGATTGGGAATATATTCTTCACCATTCTATTATTCAATCCCTTGTAGTTCACGCAGAGATGCCATATACCATCTTTTTTCTTGACCATCACCACTAGAGCAGCCTAAAGAGACTTGTTAATCTGTAGCCACCTTTTCCAAAAGTATTTAGCAAGCTGCCTATTAATCTCCTCATCTTCAGCAGGATTAGTATGAGTTGGTTGTTGCTGATAAGAAGTAGCTCCAGAACCTCATGTTGAATTCCATATTCTGGAGGCAAACCATTAGGCAACTTATCCGGAAATATATTATAGAATTCCTCTTGAATGAAATTCACCTGAGCCCCAAACCCACGAATGTACTCCAAACCAGATATGATCATATTAGAAAGAAACGGGTACACTATAAAAGAACTAGCTATCTCATGTATATAAATCAAGTATTAACGAATGGAGTATCACTATTGTCTATTTTAACAAAAAATTTTTTATAGTGCCACCAACTTCAATATGTAGAATATTACGCTCCTAATTAATCCCTAGCTTCTTATCATAAAACCATTCCTTGCCAAGAATAACATTTATGCAACTAAGATCCATAACTTAGAACAAAGGATGGTTAAGAATCCTCTAAACCATCAAAGGAACGCTTGGAGCCCATTCATTGTAAACACAAGTGTTATAACCATTTGCCATAACCACCTTGTAAATTACTGAATTCTTTTTCACATGTAAACCAAATTTCTTCACCACCTTAGAACTCAAAAAGTTGTGAGTATCACCTGAATTGAAAAGAATATTAACATCATAACCCTGAATGTCCCTCTTGGCCTTTACAAGTTGATTTCACATAGAACCATTAATCTCTACAGCATTGATATGAACTCGAAACTTAGATTTTGGAACTTTTGCCATAAGGTGTGGAAAAACCACTATAGTAAATGCTTGATTTGTATCCACGATAAATTCCATCACATTCACCTTAACATTCTTTAATCCTTTCACAATAAAACAATCCTTGCTATGATATCTAGCTTTGTGACAATGAAAACAATTGCCTTCCATCTTGTCTTTCTCACTTTTGGCTTTATTATTATCTCCATTCTTTGAGTCATGACAGAACAATGGCTATTTCTTCCCCAAAAATGAAGTTTTGGCAGGTTTGACTACCCCTTAAACCATCTTGTTGACTAAAGTGATTGGGTGAAAAGATCTGAACTTTGGGGATAGCATTAGTCAATATGGCTGGAAAATCCTTTTTGACCTTTTGTTGTATATCCACAAATCTCAAACTTTTGATGAAACATTACACCTTTAACAACTCATTATAAGTGCCTATGAGATTAAGGCAAAGATCACGGAACTTGTAGGCATATGCATCCAAAAACAAAGTCCCTTACCAAATCTCTAACAATCGGTTCACAGAATCAATCTCTTCAAATTTCTTGACAAATAAAGTATGAAAAACCTTTGTCAATTCAATCCAAGAAGTTAACTTTGGATTAGTTTTGATGTAGTTCTTCCACCACAATGAAGCATGGTCTGTAAGTTTCTTCACAAAAAAATCAATCTTCATTTTATCTTTACAATGATTGTGAGATTAACAACTTTCCCACAATTATCAACCTCCTGATTATCACAAACATCCAGTGATACCATAATCTTTGGCATGTTTGACATACTAGTAATAATCATAGACATGAGATTGATTAACCTTCTTAATGTCATTCTAAACCTTAGAAATCTTGCGTATCATCAAAAGTTTCTTATAGCCATCATCACTAATGTTATACTCATTAGGATCAAAAAGAACATGTTACTATGATATCAATAAAACAAACAAGAGAGTAAACTTTAAGCCAACTTCTCAACTCTTAAAGTTAAATCCCACAAGCTATAAAATATTTTTGGAATATTTTTGTGATTTGTGTCAAACTCAATCACGTGGGGGTTTACTGTCTCTAGACACCTACCTTTTGTTAAAATTGCATGTGATGGGGAACCCAAAAGAAGCATTGTAACTTGGGTTAACACTTGCTCGATCGAGCAATGTTAGACGTGCGCCAGGCACTGCGCCATCGGAATCCAGGCTACCTCCAGCTCGCCAGCACTGCTGCCACCAGCATTTCGACGAGGAGGTGCAGAATCAGATGCGAGGCTTCTTCCACCAGGGAATCTCTGGCGCTGATAGTGCAGCACTGCGCAAAAGGTGAGAACTATCCCCAGATCGATGAGAGAATCTTGCTCGACGTCGGTGGCCTTGATCTCCGATTGCTCATGACCTCCGCTGCCGCAATCCGTGACTCTAGGCCCGACTCTAGTATCATCACTTTCTCGCCAAAGGCATTTATTCCTTTGACGAGAGCATGCCGGGATTCCTGTGGCTACTGCGCTTTTGCTCGAGCTCCAAAGCCTGGGAAGCCGGTTTATATGTCTCTGGACGAAGTTTTGAGCGTTGCTAGCCGCGCTGCGGAGCTGGGATGCACGGAGGCACTCTTTACACTCGGGGACAAGCCAGAACTTCTTTATCCACAGGCCAAAGAAGAGGTAAGTTCTTCGAAGTTTTAAAAAGGAGGACTTTCATGTTTCTGCAATGACCTTTACTTTCTTTCTTCCTTTGTGCTTTTGCAGCTTGCGTCACTGGGCCACTCCACGACTATTGAGTATGTTGCTGAGGCTGCTAAGTTAGTGCTCGAGAAAACTGGACTTCTTCCTCATGTCAATGCAGGGGTGATGTGCAAAGAAGACGTGTCACTTCTGAGAAGCGTCTCCGTTAGTCAGGGCTTGATGCTTGAGTCGACTGCTTCGAGCCTTGCTGAACCCGGCGGCCCGCACTTTAATTGTCCAGACAAAGTTCCCTCCGCCCGGATTGCAACTATTGCAATCGCAGGCATGTAACTTTTCATTTGTTAACTCCTTCCTTTCTGTACTCTAAACTTTTGTTCAGGTGAGCTCAAGGTGCCTTTCACGTCCGGCCTGCTGGTTGGTATTGGTGAAACCAGGTCCGATCGAATCAAGAGCTTGCTGCTCCTACGTGGGCTTCATGAAAAATATGGCCATATCCAGGAGCTCATCATTCAGAACTTTCGAGCAAAGAAAGGCACCCCAATGGAAAATGCAGCAGAGCCAAATATTGACGAGCTCCTGTGGACTGTAGCCATGGCACGGATTTTATTCGGTCCAGACATGAGCATTCAAGCGCCACCAAACTTGACACCAAGGCAAGTGAACCATGACCTCAGTTTGCACTGGACTTTAACGATGTTGCAGAGATGACACAAAAGAAGGAGTTGAGTGGGAGCTTCTTATCAATGCAGGAATAAACGACTGGGGCGGAATTTCTCCCTTAACAAGAGATTGGGTGAATCCCGAGGTGCTTCCTTTCTTTGATTCTGTTTTCTTTTATCATTTCTTCTAATGTCATACTCTGATTGCCTGTTTTGCAGCTACCGTGGCCGCACATCAGAAGCTTAGCCAGTGCGACAATGCAGTGCGACAAACTACTCGTTCCAAGGCTGCCTGTATACCCGTCATATATTCGCAACTTTTCGTCGTGGCTGGTATAGCGTTGTTTTTGGAAAAGCTTGTCCACTTCCTCTTGACTTACGTTTTGCCAGGATCCCAACGTCTTGCGATATGCACTCGCAAGCTCTAACAGTCTGGGCTACGGTCGAGCGGATCCTTGGTCACCAGGTTGCAATGCTACCACTGACTGGAGTCAAATGAACAACGCTACAACCTCATCTGTTTATGTCGGCATACAGGGAAATGTTTCGTGCAATGCCTGTACGTAGGCTTCAGTTTTCCTTGCGTCTGTTAAACTTCTGTTTGTTTTTTTTTAATAGCCGCGAGAGCAAGCAGCCGTGTGGAATATATAGTGGATAAGGGCGTGGCAGGAGAGGATTTGACCAGAGTACATTGTTGCTTTGTCAACTCACTGACTTATCCATTTCTTGTGTCAGGATGAAATAACTATGCTATTCTATTCCATGGGACCAGATTTTGACTATATATGTTCTTCAGCGAATAGGCTACGTGAATCAGTAAATGGGAATAAGGTAACGAAGTTTTGACGCGCGCACATTTTGATTGTATTTTCAGGTAACATATGTTGTAAACAGAAACATCAACTATACCAACGTTTGTAGCTACAAATGCCAATTCTGCGCTTTCAGGTATCTTGTCGCACTGTGAAATAAGACCTTTTAAACTTGTATGTATCAGCAAAGGAAAGCAGAACGAGAATCTAAGAGGAAAGCCATACAGGTTGATACTTGATTGCTTTGATGCTCTCAGTTCTAATTATGTCTTTTCGTAGCTTGTCACTGGAAGAAATATCTCGTAGGACTATTGAAGCCCGTGAAAGAGGAGCGACGGAAGTATGCATGCAGGTAACAAGATCTTCAGGGTATGAGATACGACGAGCTGTTTCAGGGAGGAATTCACCCCGATTACACTGGCGAAACATACTTGGAAATTCTGAAAACTGTGAAATCAGCGGTGCCTGGTATCCACGTGCATGCATTCTCGCCTTTGGAAGTTTACCAAGGTGCTTCAACCAGCAACATGAGGTACTCAATTGTCGAGATGTGAACGTCCGTGGCTCGGTTTATTTTAATTCTCTGGCTTCCAGTGTTGAAGAGTTCCTTGTGCAGTTGAAGGCCGCTGGACTTGGTTCTCTTCCTGGAACTGCAGCCGAGGTAACAAATTTCGGTGTGCTTGTATGACTTGATCAGTGATGGTAGCAGATCTTAGACGACGAGGTGCGAAACGTTTTGTGTCCTGACAAACTCAAAACAAACCAGTGGCTCGAGGTAATGCGTGTTCGAGTTCCATATCGAAACTTGCCAAGATTTTTACTAGGTGATGGAAGCTGCTCATAGTATTGGATTGAAGACTACATCAACCATTATGTTCGGACATATGGACTGTCCGTCTCACTGGTAAGACTTCAATTCTCGGCTCATTCTTGTGCTGGTTCAAAGTACGTTCACTTTCAGGGCAACGCATCTGCAACTCATTAAAAGCCTACAGAAGAAAACCGGCGGCTTCACAGAGTTTGTGCCACTACCGTTTGTACACATGCAGGTTTGAGACGTTGTTTGAAAGCTCTTTCTTTTCTGACCATACTGCTTCTCTAGGCTCCAATTTTTGTCAAAGGCCGGGCGAGAAAGGGGCCAACAAGAAGGGAATGCGTCCTCATGCATGCAGTCTCTCGTCTGGTGCTGCATCCCCACATCACAAATATACAGGTACTATCGATGTATTGCTAGAGTTTAACGTGTTTTTTCCTTCAAAGTTGCAGGCTTCCTGGGTGAAAATGGGAGCCGATGGAGCTCAGTTCCTTTTGGCTGTTGGCTGTAACGACATGGGCGGCTGCTTGATGAACGAGAGCATCTCAAAAGCGGCAGGGGCTTTACATGGTAAATAGAAAGCTCTGCATTCATATCTTTGATATAATTCTGCGAAACTAGGTGAAGAACTTACAGCCTCGGCGATTAAGGAGCTCATCCATTCCATGGGACGAGTTCCGGTACAGAGAAGCACTTTGTACAAAGAAATGGTCCACCACTAGTGGTGAGTTTCCCATTCATTCAAGAAAACCATTCTAACTTTTTACTAGAATGGATGAAGAATATGGCAATCGAAGTCTCTTGAGGTAAGCCTTTTATACATACACATAATACAGTTTTTCGTTTCATACAACTGTTTAATATCCCTTGTGGTGGTGTTGCAAGAAAGGGTGCCTCAAGGCTTCGTCCAGTGTTATTCTCTTTGCCGGATCATTGTCGATCATCTTGTTGATAAGATCCATCGCCGCGGCTGGGCACTGTTGGAAATCTATCTTCCGATCTTCGGGAGCCTTTAGCTCCAGCATGAAGTAAAGGATGAGTCCCAACGCGTACACGTCCACCCTCTCATCGTAGCTTCCCTGGAATATCATCTCTGGGGCCATGTAGTTCCAGGTGCCCGTCACCTCGTGGAGCTTGCCTCCCTTTTCAATCTCCACAGCCGTGCCAAAATCGCCGACCTTGAGCTCCCGTTTCTTCGTTACCAAAACGTTCTCCGGCTTGAGATCCCGGTGAACAATTCCGGCGTGATGCATTGCTTTGATTGTCTTGACGAGATGCCGAAAGTGTTGGGCTATTTGGATCTTATCGTACTCGATCACGCCGGTGGCCATGGCCGTGACTAGGTCGCACTCGCACAATTCCATAACCATGCAGGAACACGTTGAATCGCAGTGCGCCTTTTTAAGGCACACCACTCCGTGAAGGTTATGAAGCTTCTTCATTATCGCCGCTTCATGGCTTTGAGATTTCTCCCTCTCAACGTCCAGTATCTTACACGCCACCTTTTTCTTCTTGATCCACCTCGACTTCTCCCGCAGCTCGAACACTCCACCGTACGCGCCTCGCCCAAGCTCACGAAGAACGTCGTAGTGTGCGGTCACCCACTCCGGCATAACAACAGTCGCCGCACACGCCATAGCTCCGAAGAAATGAGCGCGTCTATTCTTACGCAAAAGGGGCGAGCAAGGGTTCTAAAGAGGGATTTTTATACTGTTCCGTAACCTTTTGAGATGACGTGGCATTTCGTGCTTATTTTAGATTAATATTAAATTGGAGTTAGGAAAGCTCAAAACCAGAATTGGAGCGGATTGCGTACTGAAGCTTTTCTCTGAGAGTTCCAATGCGCCTGTATGCAGGTAGCTTCGTTGCAACGAAACCGAGAGTAAGTGAAAATGCGGTGAGAAAAGTCGGGAGCGCAGCAAACCTTCAATATGTTATAGCAAGTAGACGCGCTTGGGAGTCGATCGACATCTTGGCCAGCTAGAAACGTCCACACTGGAGCATCACTTGTCACCTAAGAAAGAAAAACGGGAACGAGCTAAAACCGTTGATGCTTAAGATTGCCAAACCTTGTGGATTGTAAACGGAGGCTGCAAGTGTTTGAATCCCAGCAAAGGTGCACGAGAGCAGCTCGTTACAAATTTGAGCACAGCGCATCTTTCTTTGACATCGAGTTGCTCAAGCACCTGGGACAGTTTCCACGCTCAAAACAGCACCAAATAATAGCAGGTAGTTTCCTTACCTCCCAAAACAGCTTGACCGTGCGGCTGGTTACACTGTAACCTCCAGTGTACCGGGTGTTGGCCTTCAAGTCGTTCACGTCGAAGTCGTGCTCTTCACCTGAAAGAAGCTGCAACGAGATCTTCAGGACGGTGTTGTAGACAAAAGATAGCATACCTGGTTAAATTCCTTGGCATTAAACAAACCCAGCCACGAAGGAGAGATTAAATCTGTAAGGCCTCTCACAAACGCATTAACTACTGGTCGCACCTAAGAACAAAGACAAACGGTGCTGAGAAGAAGTTAGCAAGAGGCGACTATACCTGACGATTTAGCTTGTAATCGGCCATAGCATGGACATACTGCAGCTTGTTAGCGTCAGTCACAGGGATTTTGTCTCCTCCCTGCACCAGATCAATAACCTTTCGCTTTCCAAAATATTCTTCCGTTACAGTGAAGTCCAGAGCCATATCTGAAACGTCACCTTCATAATTCTGTCAACGAAACATTAGACAGCCAAGTTTTTGAAAACGACCAAAACCAACCTTGAGGTACATCAGATTCCGATGAAGTTCACCATCGAGACTAGAGAGATCGTCAATAGGACAGTAACGACCCAGGATCTTGGATACGAATACTGGAGAAAATAAATGTTCCAGCAGAATACCTTCGTACAAGGCCTTCCCAACGATGCGACCCAAAAACTCAATCGTTCGTAATCCCTGACCAAGGCTGCTCGCAGCTGGATGAGGAAACAAAAACCGTTCTTCCGTGGCAGTTTGTTGAAACAAGCCGTAGCTACAGGAGGTACGTTAAACCGATTATATAGATTATAAGTCTGATTGCTTACCCAGGATCAAATGCAGCTTTCGCCAAGTCCGTAAGGAACTCTTTAAAAAGCCCGCCATAGTCGAGCCCTGCTTCCGTAAGACCATGCTCGTTCACAAAGGAAACGTTGATGCAGCCTTTAAATCTTGCGCCCAAGGCACCAAGCTGTTGAAAGCCATCTTCGACAATACGATCTCTTCGAATCGAAATCTCTATCGAACCGGGACCCGGTCCTACTATTTCCCCTTCTATTTTCCTCAAAGTTTTATCGCTGTTGATAAACTCCCGAAAGATTTGCACTCTGCCAACGTAGTCAGTACGAGCATGCAACAAAGAATGAGATACCTCTCCTCAAATGGTAACACGTGAGGCATGGTCGTCAATATGGAGCCAATTGCTGACGCTTCTCCCGCTTTCGAGACCGACGCGGCTTCGTGTGCTCTTGCAGCTGCAGCAATAGCAGGTCGCATTTCCGTGGCAGGCGCAAGCCATAATGCAGCTGGGCAGAAGCTGCGCCGGCTATCCCTTTCATACAATGCTCGTAAACACCTAGTCGAAGCTTCCATCAGCGTCGCATATTGAGTCCTTCCAGCCAAAAAGAAGCCATGATAGAGCATAGTGTTTAGAGCAGCACTTATCAGCCTTTGCTCGTCGATGGAAAAGGGAACCTGCAACAATCGCTAAGACAACCCGCCATGCATCAAAAGGACGAGCTGTACCTGCTTGTCGTAAAACTCGTTGTCGTCAAGAACGAGTAGCAAATGCGCATACAGCGTGCAGAAAAGCGTTAGAACTGAAGCTGCATCCTCTGAAAGAGCAGCCGGGCCACCCTTCAACTGTTCAATATGCCACTGACCATCGTCATGCACTTCAGAAATGGACTCGCTGGAGGCAGACTTTGTTCTCTTCAGGAAAGTATTAGCCAGCTTGCTTGAAAGTTGACGTGAACTCTGTTCTTTTGCTGGTAAGGCTCCCCTGCTCTCTGGCATCTTCACAATTTTTAGTTGTATGCTGCTCATGAACCAGTTCCAAAGCTGCGGAAGAAGTTCCTTGGTAAATGCTAGCACGTTTAGCACGGGTAGCGCACCTCCTCCAAAGTTCAAAACTGAGAATGTTGTGAGCAAGTAAGAGTAGAGCCTTGCAATGTTTGGGAGCCCAACGGATGATGATGTAGCCTTCTCCAAAAGCTGTAACACTTGTCGTTGATCAAACAGTGGTCTTAGGAGACGAATGAAGGAGTCCAAAGCAGCGCCACCACACCGAGAATGCAGCTCGGTATAATCTTCAGTATCCTCATCGCCGGAGTCTTCATAACTTCTTTTCCTCTCTCGAACTTCCTCAATCCAAGGTGTCATACTGTGCAGGAGGCAACAAACTGCTTCCACGAAATGACTGTACATTGGTTCGCTCAGAGATCCAACTGAAACGATGCTTACGACGTTGGTGAGACTCCATGCTTGATGTGGAACATTGCTGTCCTTTTCTGACAAAACGGTAATGCCAAAAGTCTGCTTAAGTAGAAAAAACTTAGTTTTCATCTAGCATAGAATCTCTTGAGCAACCAACCTTGTACGCGCGAAGGCAAACAGCCAAAACATTTTCATGTTGAAAGGCAGGAACGAGACCTGCAGGAAGACGTTCTATGAGGCATGGAACTGTTAAAACGTGTCTACATATTTGTGCTGCTGCTTTGCCTTTCCAGTCTTCCAAATCTCGAGCGTACCTTTGACACGAAAGCTCGGCAGCAATAGCGTGGAACGGACGAAATGCCATGGTGATCAAACTGGCAGTCACTAAGAAGCTTTCCTTGGTTTCAAGATCTGCCGTATTGCCTTCCATTAGATACGCATGAGCTGCGTAGTAAAACCCGCTGTTTCCTGCTCCAAACCACTGCACTATCTCTGAAGTTACGGCACCTGTTTCTCGCTGTCTGTCCTCAAACCCGTTCCACAACTTCGAATCGGTCAGTGTTACCAATAGTCGCATGGCCAGTGCCAGTAAGGAAGTGGAAACCGCATCGCTACGTCGCCTTCCTATGAGAATAGCCGAGCAGATTGTTAAGAGTCGATGAACTTGATAGAACCACTGAGCTTTTCGACTCGGTGTGCCGCAAGCAAGTTTGCAAAAATTCCTGGCATCTAAAGAAGAAAGTTAAATAGAGAAAAATCGATGCTGCTACTCACACCTGGAAAGTTTACGCTTTGAAGAAGAGCTTGGAAACAAATTGAGACGCGCTGGAGATCCTTGACGAAGAAACTTCGTGTAAGCCAGCTTAAGTTCCTCGTAAAGAAGATAAATGGCCTGAGAATATCATCTGCAAACGCTTCGGCACTGACAATGCCCGATCGATGAATTTCCTCAACCCGCTCGTCCCACAGCAGCTGGATGGCATTCACGGCAATTCTCGCCGCCCGGCGGCTCCTCCAGATCCTCTAAAACACCAGAGATTATGCGATTTTCGGGCAAAACGATCGGCCTGGCTCACCTGAACCGTCAGTGTTGCTGCCAGCGTTCTCCTCTGGAGGACTCGAGAAGCTCGATCCCTGGCGATTTTCTCCAGCAACACATCCCTGGAATCCTCCTTGGCGCTGGCGCCGCGCAGCGACACCTGATCAAAGCCACATTTTCAGAGGATCTAAATGACCTAGAATTTCTCTTACGCGGCCTGTCAATGGCGCCTCCATTGGCGCTCCCGGGCACTACACTGTGAAAGAAAAAGACCAGGGAGACGCATCGCCGCCGCCCGTCACATCCACATCCAACGGCCACAACCCTGACAGCCTGTTGGCGCATCCAACCGTTGGATCTAACGGTGGAGACAACTCACAAAGCGTGAGATAGGGGATGCCGGCTTTGTCAGCGCAATGAGGAAATGTGGGCGGCATTCGCAGGAATGTTTAGCTCGCGCCATAGCGCCATGGATACAGCTGTGAGGCGGGATCGCGCATTCCCTAGTCAGGAGATCGGGGGCGCGGATGCGTGGATTTGCCGCGGCCAGGTTCTTGCCATCGCTGATCTTTGGAAACCTAGAGATCTGAGGTACACTGATTAGCAAATGCGAGTGCCAGGCAATGGAATTTTGGTGTGTTTTCTTTCCAGCAGTGCCTGAGACGCCCGCAAAGATGATCAATCGATCGCTGCTGTTGACGTATTTGTACCTTCTAATTTACATCACGCTTTCTTCTGGCGTGAT